AGTTAACTACCAAAAGGATATATCATACAATAGTCCGCATTGACATCATTTAACGAGAGCGCTAAATAATCACCGCCAAGCTATTGGTAACTTTTAAATGTTGTTTTATAAAGCTTTATAATTTTGGTTTATGGAGAACCAAGTTTTAAATCATTCAAAAGATAATGTATCTCACAGTAAAAATTTGTGAGGATACATGAAATTTTGTCTGAATTAAATCCCAATTCATCAGTAGGTAGTAAGAACATAAATTGTAATTCGTGTAATAAGATTCACTATTGATTAAAACAGGCTGTTAGATGCTCGATTCTTGTCAAGATTTATGAATCCTGCAATTCATAGAGATTGCAGACTTTATGGTGATTCCATAAAAGTATACTATGGAAGAATCTTCAAACAAATCTAAAGAGTCTTCATAATTTGTTCAGTTTTTTCTCCACTCAATGAATATAAGGACAAAAAATTAATCTGAAAAAAAATTCAAAACTTTGTGATGATCTGAAAAAAAATTCAAAACTTTGTGATGATCTGGTATTCTTGTTAAATAATGTCAATGTGGACTAAATTATCCTTTAAAAATTAACTAGCACAGAGTACTCCGATAGTTAACTACCAAAAGGATACATCATACAATAGTCCGCATTGACATCATTTAACGAGAGAGCTAAATAATCACCGCCAAGCTATTGGTAACTTTTAAATGTTGTTTTATAAAGCTTTATAATTTTGGTTTATGGAGAACCAAGTTTTAAATCATTCAAAAGATAATGTATCTCACAGTATGTTAAATAATGTCAATGTGGACTAAATTATCCTTCTTAAATTAACTAGCACAGGGTACTCTGATAGTTAACTACCAAAAGGATATATCATACAATAGTCCGCATTGACATCATTTAACGAGAGCGCTAAATAATCACCGCCAAGCTATTGGTAACTTTTAAATTTGGTTTTATAAAGCTTTATAATTTTTGTTTATGGAGAACCAAGTTTTAAATCATTCAAAAGATAATGTATCTCACAGTAAAAATTTGTGAGGATACATGAAATTTTGTCCGAATTAAAACCCAATTCATCAGTAGGTAGTAAGAACATAAATAGTAATTCGTTCTCACACCTACCTATATGGTTAATAAGATTCACTATTGATTAAAACAGGCTGTTAGATGCTCGATTCTTGTCAAGATTTATGAATCCTGCAATTCATAGAGATTGCAGACTTTATGGTGATTCCATAAAAGTATACTATGGAAGAATCTTCAAACAAATCTAAAGAGTCTTCATAATTTGTTCAGTTTTTTCTCCACTCAATGAATATAAGGACAAAAAATTAATCTGAAAAAAAAATTCATTATAAAGCTTTATAATTTTGGTTTATGGAGAACCAAGTTTTAAATCATTCAAAAGATAATGTATCTCACAGTAAAAATTTGTGAGGATACATGAAATTTTGTCTGAATTAAATCCCAATTCATCAGTAGGTAGTAAGAACATAAATTGTAATTCGTTCTCACACCTACCTATATGTTAATAAGATTGACTATTGATTAAAACAGGCTTTTAGATGCTCGTTTCTTGTCAAGTTTTATGAATCCTGCAATTCAAAGAGATTGCAGTCTTTATGGTGATTCCATAAAAGTATACTATGGAAGAATCTTCAAACAAATCTAAAGAGTCTTCATAATTAGTTCAGTTTTTCCTCCACTCAATGAATATAAGGAAAAAAAATTAATCTGAAAAAAAATTCAAAACTTTGTGATGATCTGATATTCTTGTTAAATAATGTCAATGTGGACTAAATTATCGTTTTAAAATTAACTAGCCCAGGGTACTCTGATAGTTAACTACCAAAAGGATACATCATACAATAGTCCGCATAGACATCATTTAAAGAGAGCGCTAAATAATCACCGCCAGGCTATTGGAAACTATTAAATGTTGTTATATGAAGCTTTATAATTTTGGTTTATGGAGAACCATGTTTTAAATCATTCAAAAGATAATGTATCTCACAGTAAAAATTTGTGAGGATACATGAAATTTTGTCCGAATTAAAACCCAATTCATCAGTAGGTACAATAGTCCGCATTGACATCATTTAACGAGAGCGCTAAATAATCACCGCCAAGCTATTGGTAACTTTTAAATGTTGTTTTATAAAGCTTTATAATTTTGGTTTATGGAGAACCAAGTTTTAAATCATTCAAAAGATAATGTATCTTACAGTAAAAATTTGTGAGGATACATGAAATTTTGTCTGAATTAAATCCCAATTCATCAGTAGGTAGTAAGAACATAAACAATAATTCGTCCTCACACCTACCTATGATGATCTGGTATTCTTGTTAAATAATGTCAATGTGGACTAAATTATCCTTCTTAAATTAACTAGCACAGGGTACTCTGATAGTTAACTACCAAAAGGATATATCATACAATAGTCCGCATTGACATCATTTAACGAGAGCGCTAAATAATCACCGCCAAGCTATTGGTAACTTTTAAATGTTGTTTTATAAAGCTTTATAATTTTGGTTTATGGAGAACCAAGTTTTAAATCATTCAAAAGATAATGTATCTTACAGTAAAAATTTGTGAGGATACATGAAATTTTGTCCGAATTAAAACCCAATTCATCAGTAGGTAGTAAGAACATAAATAGTAATTCGTTCTCACACCTACCTATATGTTAATAAGATTGACTATTGATTAAAACAGGCTGTTAGATGTTCGATTCTTGTCAAGTTTTATAATTCCTGCAATTCAAAAAGAGATTGCAGACGGTTTATGGAGAACCAAGTTTTAAATCATTCAAAAGATATTGTATCTTACAGTAAAAATTTGTGAGGATACATGAAATTTTGTCTGAATTAAATCCCAATTCATCAGTAGGTAGTAAGAACATAAATTGTAATTCGTTCTCACACCTACCTATATGTTAATAAGATTGACTATTGATTAAAACAGGCTTTTAGATGCTCGATTCTTGTCAAGTTTTATGAATCCTGCAATTCATAAAAAAATTGCAGACTTTATGGTGATTCCATAAAAGTATACTATGGAAGAATCTTCAAACAAATCTAAAGAGTCTTCATAATTTGTTCAGTTTTTTCTCCACTCAATGAATATAAGGACAAAAATATTAATCTGAAAAAAAAATTCAAAACTTTGTGATGATCTGGTATTCTTGTTAAATAATGTCAATGTGGACTAAATTATCCTTTTAAAATTAACTAGCACAGGGTACTCTGATAGTTAACTACCAAAAGGATACATCATACAATAGTCCGCATTAACAAATTTAATGAGAGTGCTAAATAATCACCGCCAGGCTATTGGTAACTATTAAATGTTGTTTTATAAAGCTTTATAATTTTGGTTTATGGAGAACCAAGTTTTAAATCATTCAAAAGATAATGTATCTCACAGTAAAAATTTGTGAGGATACATGATTAATCTGAAAAAAAAATTCAAAACTTTGTGATGATCTGGTATTCTTGTTAAATAATGTCAATGTGGACTAAATTATCCTTTTAAAATTAACTAGCACAGGGTACTCTGATAGTTAACTACCAAAAGGATACATCATACAATAGTCCGCATTGACATCATTTAATGAGAGAGCTAAATAATCACCGCCAGGCTATTGGTAACTATTAAATGTTGTTTTATAAAGCTTTATAATTTTGGTTTATGGAGAACCAAGTTTTAAATCATTCAAAAGATAATGTATCTCACAGTAAAAATTTGTGAGGATACATGAAATTTTGTCTGAATTAAATCCCAATTCATCAGTAGGTAGTAAGAACATAAATAGTAATTCGTTCTCACACCTACCTATATGTTAATAAGATTGACTATTGATTAAAACAGGCTTTTAGATGCTCGTTTCTTGTCAAGTTTTATGAATCCTGCAATTCAAAGAGATTGCAGACTTTATGGTGATTCCATAAAAGTATACTATGGAAGAATCTTCAAACAAATCTAAAGAGTCTTCATAATTTGTTCAGTTTTTTCTCCACTCAATGAATATAAGGACAAAAAATTAATCTGAAAAAAAAATTCAAAACTTTGTGATGATCTGGTATTCTTGTTAAATAATGTCAATGTGGACTAAATTATCCTTCTTAAATTAACTAGCACAGGGTACTCTGATAGTTAACTACCAAAAGGATATATCATACAATAGTCCGCATTGACATCATTTAACGAGAGCGCTAAATAATCACCGCCAAGCTATTGGTAACTTTTAAATGTTGTTTTATAAAGCTTTATAATTTTGGTTTATGGAGAACCAAGTTTTAAATCATTCAAAATATAATGTATAACACAGTAAAAATTTGTGAGGATACAAGAAATTTTGTCTGAATTAAATCCCATTTCATCAGTAGGTAGTAAGAATATAAATAGTAATTCTTTCTCACACATACCTATATGTTATAAGATTGACTATTGATTAAAACACGCGGTTAGCTGCTCGATTCTTGCCAAGTTTTATGAATTCTGCAATTCAAAAAGAGATTGCAGACTTTAAGGTTATTACATAAAAGTGGACCTTGGAAGATTTTTCAAACCAATCTAATGAGTCTTTATAATTTGTTCACTTTTTTCCCCGACTCAATGAATATGAAGACAAAAAATTAATCTGAAAAAAAAATTCAAAACTTTTTGATGATCTGGTACTCTTGTTAAATAATGTCAATGTGGACTAAATTATCCTTTAAAAATTAACTAGCACAGAGTACTCCGATAGTTAACTACCAAAGGATACATCTCACAATATTCCACAGTTAGCATTATTTAACAAGAAGGCTAATTTATCACCACCATGATATTGGTTACTTTCTGACGTTATTTTATAAAGCTTTATATTTTTGGTTAAATGTTGAACCAAATTTTAAATCATTCAAAAGATAATGTATCTCACTGTAAATCTTTTGTGAGGATATATGAAATTTTGTCTGAATTAAATCCCATTTCATCACTAGGTAGTAAGAATGTAAATAATAATACGTTATCAAACATACCTATATGTTAATTTAATAGACTATTGATTGAATCCCCAGTTGGATGCTCGATTCTTGTAACTTCTAATGATAAATTCTGCGATACAAGAGATGGCAGATTTACAGGCGGTTTTATCACAGTGGACTATAGTAGATCCTTTTATCATATCAAGAGTCTTCAACATTTGTTCACTTCTTTGGCTCAACTCAATGCCTACGAAATAACTACATAATAATATACAAAAAAAATTGATGCGAAATACAATTATGATCTTTTTCTCTCTTTAATGATAACAATGTAGACTAACAAACTATGTTAACTATTAGGATAGTAACGTGTAAGACATTGTTCTGCACTGGTATCACTAAACATAAAATTAAAATTATCTCCGTTACATATCACTGATTTTTTCAGATAATGTTGCATTATTAGACATTATTTTTTTTATAATCAAATTTTATTCCATTCCAGTAAGTAATAAGAGTACATGTATTATTTTAATTCTAATACCTACCTATATTAAACAAAAATAATGCATCGGCTCTTTGTAACATGAAATTGGTTTTTATCTTTGATGATCTACTCTGTGATGCAAGTGTGGATATCAGAGCCACAGTCAGTTCTATCAAATCGGACCATTATGAATTACGTAATATAGTATGTAGGTACACTTTACACACAGATAATTAAATGTTTGCTAATTATTAGTTGTTTTATTTTACATAAATATTTTTTTTTTATTATCTACCTGTATTTGCACAAGTCAGACAACATATTTACTTCGATACGTTAGTTCTGGATTATTCAGTGTTTTATGAAATCCGACAATTTATATTAATATTTAATAATAAATTTGGTAAGTAATTAATTTGGTAAGGTTTTAATTTCTCGTTACTACTAGCCGATTGACGGTTTTGTTTATTGTATCACATTATCGAAATGTACTATCACCACCAAGAAATGATATTTGAACATTTTCGGCGCGTTATTCAAATATTAAATAGTATTTTGCGTCATTGTTATCCGAAATACGCGTGAATCCATTTCGAAACTTTAATTAACTCTTGAACTAGCTGACGAAATGTATTTAATAAATACCTATATTCTTATCGCTGATCCAAGCAGCTCTCGTTGATGGCAAATTTTCTTCATCGATGACATCTATTGTAGTAGTGGGCGTAACCGCAATAGGCATTGCCGCGGTCGTTTCTATTAATTTTTCTTTGCGTTCCAACGCCCGTCGAAATCTATTGTAAAACTCTATTGTAAAATGTATACTCAGATCGAATAAAATAAATTTGAATAGGTACACTTGTTTTTAAAGCGGTTCTGAAACGAGATATTATTATTAGTTTAGTAGGTACTTACCTATTTATACAACATCAACCGTGACTATGAAACGTTCAATTACTGAACGCACTGACGGACTGAAATCTTCAACTCACAATTCACAAAATAAATAGGCTTAATATAGTAAAATTTTCCCCCTATATTTCCCTAGCGGTTAATTGACGTAAATTACGCCGTGTTCGTCGACCAATGATACGGGTTATACAATAATTGTATTATTGTTGTAAGCTGATGGCGTGCATTCGAGTTACCGCGGTGGTTTTAAACGATTTCAAATGATTTTAAGTGGCCTAAACAACGGTTCACAGAAATAATAAAACTTCTAGACAGAATATAAATTATTTAAAAAACTATATATTATATACTTATATAGGCTGCCATTAGAAAATCAAAGTGTGTATACTACCTATATAATGGCTAATAGGTACGTATATGACTCATGTAAGGTAGAATGGTGTGTAGGTACAACAAATTGAAACCAACCAGTTAAATCTTAAATTATTCTATGATAACAGTATTACAATTAATGTAAAATAATATTATGAATAAAATATTAGTGTGTGTAGGTACTTATTTTATATTTTTATTTGGAAGATGGCTGGATAAATAAAACGGTAATCGGGAAAAAAACGACCAATTAAAAAAAAAAACCAAATTTTAATAAAACTACTCCTTTTTTTCTTATTTAATAAAAATTTAGGGGTTATATTAATATTATTAGTATTAATTTTTGAGAAAAATTGACGATTCGTAATTATTGGTTACTCTATTATCACAAAGGCAAAAAAATATCAGATTTTTAAAGCCATATTTTCTTTTGTAAACGAATTGTAAACATTTTCATAGTCTGCAATCAAAAATATCATATCAACATTTTTCAAAAGTATTTTATGAAAACACTTAAACGTGATAAGAGTTACGTCTTTCATTTTATAATTTTTGTGAACTACATATTAGTCTATGGATAATACGGAATGTACTTAAGATAAATCAATTTTAAATAGTGATAAATAACACTCAAAGGAATGTCCCTCTCACCGGACCTCAAGGTGAAAGGATTAGAAGAATTTCTTTGTCATATATCTATTTGGGCAATTTTTTTAACTCAGTTGAGTTAATATGTATTAATAAGAAAAAGTTAAAAGTTAATTTAATTTTAGTAATTTCAATTCTAACTTAGTAAAGGTAAAAATTAACACATCATTTTTTTTAAATAATTTACCAAGTTGAAAGTTAAAACTATTTAATATTTACTGTTTAGTGTTTACAAGTACAGTATTTTTATACATTACTTTTGTAAAGTGATAAAGGTTTTGATTACTTGAATAAAATAAAAATGGTTATACCTATCTAATAAATAAAACATAATAATACATTAATACTTAAATTTTAAAGTACATAAGTTATTTTATTTATTAAAGATATATAAATAATATTGATGTGCATGATGCATGTGTATAAGATAATTGATAGTCAATCGATTATGACTGTATTACTGCATTATAACATTAACCGAAATATTTTTTCTACATGAAAACGAAATTGATAAAAAAAAACAAGCACTAAAACCAATACCTTCCTTGCTTCGCTCTAAAATCAAAAAATTAACTTAAATTCTTAAAATGAAAATTCAATTCATTGATTTCACTTTAATTTTAAAATAATTAAGTCAAGTTCATAGTTAAGTTAATGGAAACCCAAAAGTAATTAATTAAATTATATTAACTTTAATTTTTTAATTTATTAATGCCCAGCCTTGCATATCTCCATATAAAATAATTTTTTCCATGGTTTTTTAAAACATACCTACATATATTCATTAAATAATAATTTATCTTTTCCTTTATTTGATTTAATTTTTTTCATGGTATGGTAATATAAAAAAATAGACAGACAAACATCGCATGTGAGTGAGCCACAGTTAAGATGTTGGATAGATAAAGGGGTAATTTAATGCATATCTGTACGCAACAATTAATCATTGCTAACAAAAATAATTCTGAGTGGAATTCGGTTAATATTGTTACTTTGTCAACAATATACATGTTACATTATAATCAAATAATTATATATACATTATATATTTTCTTTAATAATATTTGTTCAATATTGAATTTATTTCCAGTTTTTTCATTTATTGAGAAAATAACTGGAAAAATCAAAAAATTACCTCCCTAAAGTACCACTTCAGTCAGATTTTCTTTTAGAAAAAGTGTTATCATTGCAAATTGGAGCAAAATTGCTAGTAGAAAAGTTGTTCATAGGAAAAAAAAAGGCCATAATATTTATTACTAATACCTACATTTCGTACATTTTCCGATATTTTAACCTGGTTTTTTCCCAATTATTATGAAAACTACTTCGGAAATCAAATAAATTACGCACTTTATCATGCTGATTTATTATGATTTAATTTAATTTTAATTTTAATTAGTATTATAATCATATATAAAATTATTAACATAAATAATATTAATATTATTAAACTTTTTGATTGAAAATCAAATATACTTATTATATTAATAAAATTAATTATTTCATCAATAGAAATTTATACATAAAAATAATCAAATAATATCAATAACATGTCAATATTAAGCTACTAATTCAAATCTAATATGATGAATAAATGAAATGTGATATTTTATTACTTGAATTAAATTTAATATTAAAAAAAATAGTTCCAATAATTACATGTAATCCATAAAATCTTCTAGCTATATAAAATGATCAAAAATTGAGTCAGAAAATGTAAATATTGCTTGTTTATATTCAATAATTTGAAGCACTAAAAAATATAATCTTATAGTAATAATTAAATTTATAAAAATTATTGTTTTATTATTTTTATTATTTAATTAATACAAATGTGTTAATTTTATTGTATACCTTGAAGTTAATAAGATAATAGTATTTAAGAATGGCATTAATAAAATATTATTTGATTGAAAGTGATTATGTAATAATGTAAATGAATTCTGTAAACAATGTTTTATTAAAACAATTTTCAAAAATTAAAATAATTTAAATGTTTCTGAAATAATGATTATGATTATTTAATTTGATTTAAAATATAAAAATTGTAATTTCCTCGAAATGTACTTTCTCAAATAATATCTCGTCATCATACTATTAAAATTAAATATATATATATATATAGATATTAAAACTGGTTAAGGTCTTAAATTAAAGATTAAATATGGTTGATTTATTTGTATCATTATTCTCTGGAATATAAACAATATAGAATTGAGAAAACATAACTTTGAATTATTGATACACATATTTCAAATATTATTATAAATATTTGTATTATTAAAATGATAATTATTAATAAATGTTCAGCAATTATATTAGCAGATAATCAAATTAATAAAGGAATTGGTGGGATAAAGACTTGCTGTTTCAATAATTGTTATTAAATGTGTTAATAATAAAGGAATGGGATTAAATGTGCAATTATATTTTTAAAATTATTAAAAATTTTTATAACTTGATATTATAATATAAAAAATTCAAAATAATTAAGCTAAAGTTATTGAAAAAAATTATATGACTACAAGATGAAAAAAGACATTCTAGGATAATGGAGAAGGCTGTAGCCACTGTTATAGATAATTTAATGTATGCAACAATGAACCATTGCTTACGAAAAAAACCATTCTGAGCAAAGTTCAGTTGATAATGAAGCTTTGTCAACAATTTATATGTCATATTATAGTAAAATTATTAAATAGAATTTCTATACTTTTTTTAATAATATTTGTTTAACATTGTACAGCTTTTCCCAGTTTTCCATTTGCCTGGAAAACTCTTGGGAAAATCGAAAAATGACCTCTAGTACTTTCCTAGTGAGTAATGAAACATTGCTATCATTAAAAGTTGGAACAAAATTGATGGTAGAAAAGTCAAATCATAATAAAGTTATTTATTGTGAATTCAGTAAAAATAGATAATCACTGAAGAAATCTATCAATAATTCCAAAAACAATTCCTATAGATAAAACATAATAAAAATGGCAAAAACATAATATTTATCATGTAACATGATATCAATTGATGAATTAGATAAAATTATTCCTGTTTAACCCCCAATTATAAATAAGAAAATAAATCCTAATATTCAAATTATTGATGGTGAAAAATTTTAATTCTTATTAGGACAGCAATAATAGTTACAGAAATGAAATATGCTTAAGTTTTTACATCTATACCAATTGTAAATAGATAGTGAGCTCAAACAATAAATCCTAATAAAGCAATTGTTAATATTGTTTAAATTATACTTATATTTGCAAAAGTTTCACTTTTATTTCTTTTTTGTTTAATAATGTGAGAAATTCATCCAAATCCTGGTTAAATTTAAATTTAAACTTCAGAATGTCAAAATAAATATGGATATAAAAATTTAATCCACCATCAAAAAATGAGGTATTTAAATTTTGATCTGTTAATAATATTAAAAATATAGCTGTAGTTGGAATTGATCAGAAAAATAAAGGAATTTCATTTAATTTTAAATTGTTAGGTGTTATATATATTTAAAACTGTACAAATAAAATTAATTGCTCCTAAAATTGATGAAATACCTACTAAATGTAAAGAAAAAATAGTTAAATCTACTGAAATATTATTATATGCAATATTATTTGATAATGGAAGATACATTTTTCATACTGTTTCTATTCTATTATTAATTATAAATCTATAGATTATTAATTAATATTAATTATTATTAATAATTGTGGAAATAATCAAAATCTAATATTTTCTAATTAAAGAAATTATATATCAGAAGATCCTATTATTAATGGAATTAATTAATCAATTTGCAAAACCTCCAATTACAATAGGTATTGTTATAAAAAATATTATAATAAAAGTATGAATTATACAATTACATTGTATAAATAATTATTATTAATTTGATTTAATCCAAGTCTAATTAATATTCTGAGTAAAGCTCCTATTATTCCAGATCATACCTGAAGATAAAGTGTAAAGTTCCAATATCTTTATGATTGGTTGAAAAAATTAATTTTATGAATGAATTGATAAAATTACTGATAAAAGGTTGTAAATTGTAAATTTATAATATATTTTTATAAAATTAACTTTATATTCAATTATGATACTAAATGCAAATTTAATGATATTATCTAAGATTTAAAATCTTTTTTAATAAATAATAAAATTAAAAAATAATTTCTTTTAGATTAATGAATATAATTAAATTAAAATTATATTTTTTTTATTTTGAAAAAATAATTTATTAAATAAATTGAAATTGAATAATAGAAAGAAAATTAATATTAATATGTTTATTTAATTTAAATAAACAAATTAAAATGAAATAAATAATAAATTTATTTATTCATACATTTTCATTAATTATTATTGTTATAAATAATATGCAAATGGCATTAAACTAAGTTTAATTAATAAAAAAATTCTATTGATTTATTAATTAATATAATTAATAATAAAATAAAAGCAAAAGTTTATTGAATAGTATTTTATTGAAAATTCAATAGAATAAATTGATGATTTAAAATTTAAAATTAGTAAAAAGGTGAATAAATTTAATTCTAAACCTTTTCATAATGAAATTCAATTTGTTGATGGAATTAATATTAAAGTCATAAAAATTAATATTATTATAAATGTAATTTTTGTTAAATTTAAATTTATTAGAAAAAATAATTTTATTTGTAAATTATATATTTAATTGTTATTGCATTAAAATTTAAGACAGTTTAATTCTAAATATATAATAAAAGTATTTATAGAGAATACATGATTTACTCTATCAAGGTAATCCTTTTTTCAGGCATTTTATTTTAAATAATAATTAATGGCATAAAATAAAATTTATTTAGATGTATTATGTTCTATGTATTATTGTAATTTGTTTTATATGAATTAATTATTTAGTCAATAACCAATTATTCATTTTTTAATATATAATAATTAATTTTATTTAATAAATATAATTAATTGTTAGTATTAAATATTAAAGGAAATTAGATTTAATTATTAATTTTAATATAAACAAAATATTGTGCCAGCAGTTGCGGTTAAACATATTGTATAAATAAAATAAATAAATAAATAATAATATAAGGATCCTAGATTTATTTATTATAAATTCGGAACATTTTAAATCTTACTTAAAATGTACATATATTGCAACAAACTATGTGGTGGGAGGGGTGATGGTAAGGATGAAGCCCTCAAAACAAGTACGTAATTCAAAAGTTATCCATTCAAAACCAAAAGTTTAAGAAAAAATAATATTGAAGTCAAACTAACATATTAATAAGTGAATATAATTTGTCTACACTTCTACAGTGATAATTAACCTAATCTACCTAATCTCATGATAACATGCAAATTTGAATTATAAAATTTAAGAAATAAGGAAAATTTAGGGACTTATGGATTCAAAATACGGGGCAAAAGTGTTATTTAGAATTTTTGACCGGGATACCGGGACGCTTATTTCAAATATAGGTCAATCCCGTTTAATACTGGATGTATAGGATCCCTAGGTTAATATTATAAAATAATGTTAATTAAATAATTTTTTTGTAAGGTGAAATTAAATTTATAATTATTTTATTCTATTAAATTTTAGTTTAAACTAGGATTAGATACCCTATTATAAAAATATAAATATTAATTACTTAAAAATTAATAGTTATACTTAAATTTAAAAAATTTGGCGGTATTTTAGTCTTATTAGAGGAACCTGTTGAGTAATTGATAATCCACGATTAATTTTACTTATTTTTTAATTTATATATCGCTGTCATGAATATATTTAAAAATTAATTTAATAATTTATGTTAAGTCAAGATGTACTTAGTTTATAAATAAGTTTTAAATGAATACATTAAATTAAATATTTATGGATTTTAAATGAAAATTGAAATGAAATTTGGATTTAATAGTAAATTTATTTATTTATTTAAATCTAAAATATGTACATATTGCCCGTCATTCTTATTAAAAATAAGACAAGTCGTAACAAAGTAAATGTACTGGAAAGTGTATTTAGAAAGATTTAAAATAAATATCTAAATTTTAAGTATATCATTTACAATGATAAGATGTTTTTTTAACGTACCATAATATCAAGTACGCATTTTAAGGAGGTAATTTCTTAATTATCTCCAGTAGTTTTCCCGATAAATGGAAAAAAACGTGATAATAAATAAAATATTAAATAAATATTATTAAAGAAAATATATAATGCATATATAGTTATTTTAACATAATGTGACATATATATTGTTTAAATATTTATTTGCTCCATTTTTGAAATATAGCTGTGACACTGAATAAAAATACATAAAAAATACATTATAAATAATATAAAATCGTGTGAAATAGTGAAAGATTACCGGAAAAAAACAATATAATTGTGTTTCTCGGGTAATCCCCTTCGACGAAAAAGTTTGACAAATTGAATTTAAAATCTAGAAAGAGGGGGGAACTGAAGAAACGTATTTTTGTCAACTTAATGTTATGATTTAGTCTGAATTCAAGTGAAAGCATTGGTTTATTACCAGCATAATCCATTGTTTTTAGATTCTGAGTGGAGCGAGGAGTGTATTGGTTTTACAATGATGTTTATTTTTTTTTTGTGAACAACTTTCTACCAGAAATCTTGCTCCGATCTACAAGTGTAGAAATTTTTCTAAAAGGAAATCTGACTGGTGTGATACTATAAGAAGGTCATTTTTTGATTTTCCCTGGAGTTTTCCCAATAAATGGAAAAAAAAACCAGAAAACAGGTAAAATAGGTACAATATTAAACAAATATTATTAAAGAAATTATATAATGCCTGATAAAGCAACATTATAAACTGAACTCCGTTCAGAATCGTTTTTCCGTTACCAATGGTTTATTTTTGCTTACAGATATACATTAAATGTCCTCTTTACTGCCTCCCCAACTTCTCATCTACAACAGTGCCCCCCCCCACATGCGAAGTATGCCCGTCAGTTTGATATAACGTCTAAACTAAATGGATGCAAATGCATGCTATAAATAAAATTAAAATACATATTGACACAAAAAAAATATGTACGTGAATAAATGTAAAATTACATAAAATGTATGTGAATATAATTTAAAACAGTTGAGGGAAAATTCAACTCTAGTGATGGAGTTCTGCTCATGGGCGTATTTTTATATTTATTATATTGTTTTAATATTGTTGAGTATTAACCTCTTAAACATATTTGTTTTATTATTATTAAGACTTAAAAATCATATATTATAAATAACGTCAATATTTTTTTGTTCTCAGTTACTGTAATCCTATTTTCATCAACAGTGTAACAGCATTTGACCTGCACTAGTTCCAGTTACATTGCCTCCGGAAGTAGCGTTTTTTAGGCAAACACATTCTTCATAATTTTTAAGAACCATCCAAGAATACGTGAACAAACCTATATTATAAAAGCGTATAATAAATATTATTTTTTACTTACAAAGTTAAAACCATCGTAATGGTTAAATAAAAAAAAACATTGTTTTTTATTATTGTCTTGTTTTTTTTAAAGTGTTATTTATTTCAAATACTTAGGTGATTCAAAATCTGGCATTTTTTTATTTCCCTTGTAGTTTTCTTAATAATGGGGAAAAACTGTACATTTTTTATTATGAATTCGATTGTATATCTAGTAACGAAATAATGAATTCACGTTGAATTTGTTACCTGCAAACATCATCACCACGAAAAATCTTAAAAAAATGGTCATTGCTTTGTAGGCGGAATTGTCGTTAAAATCCATGAATGGTATATTTTGTGGTTCACAGTCGAGTCTCGTTTGGTTAATATCGTCTTTTTTCATTTCGTCTTCCGAAAAAACATCATCTGCTTCTGACACAAACGCAACTTTGTCGTTATCCTTGGGTCTTATATTGATTGTTATTTCAAACTGAGAATCGGATTGTGGCATGAACCACATGGTGGTCGGACAACGATTTGCTATGCAGACATATCTATGTTAATAGAATGAAAATATAATCAAAACCAAATAATAATATGCTGAATACAATAATCTCAAATTATAAAAAGCAATATGAAGATAATTAAAAGCTGCAATAGAACTATGCAGTTACTAACATTTTTTTTTTTTATTTTTGAGTATTATCAATTGTAGTTTTAAAATTATACAGATATCTAATACACAAATGTTAATTACTCAACAGTAAATTTGTCAAAAGTATAATATCTACGTATTATTTGTATAACTTATATTTGTATACAACAAAAATAATACTCCAATCGAAAAACGGTTCTAGTCGAAGTTACGTTTTACATTTTTTGGAATACCGTTAATAAATTATTACGCATTATTGTTGGGCCAGAATAATATGGAAAATCAAAAAATAACTTTCTTACACATCAAATAAACAAAATTTTCTTTCAGAAAAGATAATACTCTTAAAATTTTGAACAAGATTTTTGATAGAAAATAGAAAACAAAAATCGGATAAATTTAAAACAATAAAACTGTTAACCTGTTAACACATTAAATGTTTGTCCTTCTGACTATGCAATTTTTTTCCAATTTTTACTAATTATTATTTAGCTCCAAAATTCAATGAAGAATTATTTTTTTATTGGGTCAAGATTTCTAGTAGAAAAGTTGCTCACAGAAATAAACAGATATTATAGTAAAAACAAGAAGAATAAAAAAGTACATTATCATAGTAAAAAGTAGAACCAATACATTCCTCGCTCTGTTCAGAGTATATAATAATATGAGTAGATACTTGGATGTATTGGAAAATAAAGTGCACACGCAGAGAATTATCCAAGTCCCAAAAAGAGTCGTCAACATTTTTTGAGCGATTCCCAGTATTCTGTCTACTTCCTAAAATCAATTCAGTTAATTCATAATTAGTTTTGTAATAAAAAGTGCTCGAATTGGGAAGGGGAGAGAACTGAGTTTGAAAACCCATATTCGTTCCTTATTATTTATTGGTAAAAGTTATAGTGACTAGAGGAAGACATCGCCCCTTCGCCTCTTATACACAAAGTATAGATAAATTAAATAATTAATTAGTATTGTAATGAATATTTATATAGGTAGAAAAAAAATGTTATATTGGACAGTCAACTGCAGATGAGTTGATATTCATTTCACATTATATTGAATAAATTTACATTATTTTGGTTCCTATAAAAAAATATGTTTGAATACTTCAGTGATAAGGCATTTTTATTGTGTACTTAATTGTACTTAATTTTAATTGTTCACTTTATTGTATCAAATTCTATAATAATCTCAAGTAGTAAAAAAAATTATCTAATACAAACACTTCTTATGAAAGTGTTCCTAGTGATTCTAGGTTAATGAAATTAATGGGTATTAGTGGGTATATTTATCAGTACACTAGAAATCTATATGAACAAACAAAAGGAGGCTCCGTCCACTCTGGTCTTCCCCCATCCAATTCAACCACTGATAATTATTATTATTCTTACATTGTATGCTCCGCTATATGCTATGACCCAATTAATGATTAACAATATACAAAACACTAAAGAGATACTCCATGGCACTGAAATGATAATCAATACCTAGGTATAATTGTTTAATAATTATTGTCATGTATTATAAATACACTTATACACTATAATAGTGGCGGATCCAGAAATTATTCAGTGAGTGGGGAAAGAAGTAATTAAATGTATCCAGTACCAAATTCCACATTCATATTCTATAGTTGAATTTGTAATTTACAAAACATTATTAAAATTTTAAAATTGTATTATTCAAATATTTATTTTAAATTTTGAGCTAGCATTGTAGCATTTTTGATCTAATAGGTGCATTGAGAAGGGTATTTGTTAATTTTCAATGTAGTTTTAATAATAACCAAAAAAAACGTAAAGAAAAAATATAAAAATGTATGGTAATAAAAGTTTTATTGTTTTCGATATTTTCGAATTTATTTTTGTGCTAGAAATATTGCTCCCGATTTCAAGTGAAGTATCTTTTCGGAAAAAAAAAATGTTGTCTAGTTGCTAAGAAGATCGTATAAAATGTCTAAATTCTGCTTTAGGAGGCAATGTTTTGTTTACTCAGGAGGGTACCATATGACCCCTCCTCCTTGGATCCGCCAAAGTATTTTAACTATTATTATTATTACTTACCGATTGTTTCGAAGTTGAGTAACGTTATATTCATCATTATTGAACATATAGAAATAGTCTAAAAACGAAAAATAATATATGGTATTAAACGAGAAGATCAATAAATAGTACCTTTTAATATTTCTATTAATAGTTTGAATGGGTTTAAAATACATTAGTAAAGTACCTACTTACCTACCTATAATAATGTGCAACTAAGATTATTTTTGGGAGAAATCCAAATATCTTTAGGTAAATAAATTTAAGAAAGAATATAAAGTAACCATAATATTTTAATATTAGAACAAATATTGTAGTGCCCTAGACAAAAAATGGATTTCATTCAAATGGTTTTTTTAAAATAAATATTTCTCTAACGGTATAAGTTCATAATTCTGTACGAGTTTTCAATCTACTAGAATTTTTAAAATCCAAGTAAGTAGCCAGGATTTTTTAAAGGGGTGTTTATATTTAAATAAAACTTGTAGACAGCAGATTTTACTTTTTAATACAGTCCATCATATCGTTTATCAATAAAAATTGCTAACATCAGCTGGTGCTACCACAGGTTATAGTCGTATAAAATATAACCATTAACTACTATCATTCCCATTATCAAGTATTTGATATTTATATATTATGTAATATCTTCAATCTTTCTGATAAATAATAACATCAAATATGAAATTAGAATCAGCTGACTACACATTTTGTAAGAATCCTAAGCATTTAATGTACAATTTATTTTTGGCATAAATACAACCGAGAGAGTAGTCTTTCAACAACTAAAATACTCTTTCTTGCTACGCGTCAGAGCAAATATAAATGAATTTCAAGATAATCAAAAAAAACATTATACACAAGTTAATTGAGCCCAGTTATCTTAAAGTTGCAGTGGCGTACCCAGGAGAAGGTCTAGGAGGCTTTAGGCCCTCTCAATAGTCATTGACCATGTCAAAAAAATAATAATAATAGACAATTAGGCATTATCAAAATAGTAAAACAATAATAGTTTCATATTTATACTACTTATTCTACTAAGTACAATCATTTGCACTGCACTATTACCTATGTATTTTGTAAAACATTTTGTTTTAGTCAAGTTACCATAAATAAATTAAATAAATTACCTAAATGAATGTAAATTAACAATTTTTTATCCAGTTTATAATATTGATAAATGGAAGACATCCAAAATAAAACATAATATTGACTTACAAATTATCTTTAGTTAATCCGAAGGGAAACCCAATTGTAAACAGAAGTAAAAGGTGATAAAACGGTTTGATCATGACCAGTGGGCAGATAGAAAAACAAATTAAAGAATATCAATTGAAAGAATAATCATAGTTATGAACCAGTAGGAAGACCACGGATGAGATCAAAGGACGCTGTAAGAAAGGATTTAGAGTAAATCCTGAAGGATGTGCACACATAGAGGATGCATATTATAATATAGATACCGGTGAAATGGGATAATAGTGGCAGGCGACGATGCATTTTCAAGGCCCTCTAAGCTATTAAAAATAAGAAGAATTTACATGTGAATAATCATACCTAATTATTTTTCCTCCCTATAATTAAAAACACCTAATGTAGTCTAATTATAATACATGTACTTACAATAAACGATGTGGCCAATACAAGAATACCAACTTGCATTGTCAACATTCCCAGGAATGTTATCATTTTGAACTAGGTATGGTCCGTGTTTGATTATATCTTATTCGATTATCTCTAGGTATATTTACAATTTAATAACTAAATTGCTTTAATAGTTATACAATTATTGTAGTTTCGTGAGTAAAATTATACAAACGTGGTTTTTATTTATTTATATAGATAGATAAATAATAACATCACCGACGTCCTAGAAACACCATAATGCATTATGATAGGTACTTAAGCCAGGAAAATAATATCCATACAATTTAATGGATTTGTTAAAATTATTGTAAATAAACGATAAATTGTTAAAGAAACAACAAAAAGGAAACAAATTGCCTGTAGATATAATAAGTATATTATATCAATATCTACGATTGCAGGTTTATTAGTTAAAATTAAGAATTTAATTATATATAATTTTAGAATAAGTAAATGTGAATTAGTTTTGTTTGTAAATATATAAATGTACTCGTTTATATATGTATAAATATAAATACGAAGAAAAACAGCATGGAGTTATATAAATGGTTTTAATTTTAAAAATCATCATCGTATAGGTTATAGAACAATTGATGAAACTGATAAGTATACCTACGACCTCCCTATAACTTGTTTAATATATAACACATATGTGTTTATAATAATTTATAGTTATAGTTTAATACTTATAAATCAATATATTTCTAATCATATAAACATATGTACATAGATTAAAATTGTTTAACTACTTAAGTACTTAAAAAAATTTAAATTTCAATAAGTACTAACAAAATAATAATATTTACGAAATATTTATATGTTGGAGTAATATCTTTATATTAATAATAATATAAAGTAAATAGCATATGCTAACAGTTTAGGATACTGATAAAAATAGTAGAGTTAACTATTCATTTTTTTCATGCAATAAGCATTCCAAATATACAATTTTATATAAAGCATAGTTGAAACATTTTTGTATTTTTAGTGTTGTTTTCAAAGTATTGGTGCTGTTTTATGATAATATTCAATAAGTATGATTTATTTTATGTTTTTCATAAATTTCATTTTAATCTAATGAAAATAATAGAAAAAAGTCATCATTTATGAGATAAATTTTAATAGTTGCATTGAATCGACGTCTCTATTCAAGTTTATCTAAAGTTTAATTTATTAATTATTTATTATTACTGTTATTTCGAAATTATTTAATAATAAAAAATTGGTAGCATAAAATATTTCCGGAAAATATAAGTAAATTTAAAGTTCAAATTAATTATATATTCTGATACTCAGTTTATTATAATATACATCAATTTTTTACCTGTTAAATAGTTAAATTTTACCGTATTAAATTAATATTATTCATTGATTTTCCCAGTCATGAAGAAATCATAAATCAGAATCTTTTCTCTAGTAAAAACTATACCATTCTTTGAATGATAGACGTTTCACCCCCGACATACTTTGATAATTTAAATACATTCATTTTGAATGAACAATTTAATGTGATATAATTACAAATAGTCAAGATTTAAATAAATCACAATTATATTAATTCAACACAAAATATCGTAAAAATGAATAAATTAAAATTAAACTGTATTATACTAATTCGTATGTACAGGCAGAAAAATTAAATAATTAAACCAACACATTCCTCTTCACTAAGTTCAGAATTTAGAAAACGTTTTTTTTTCGTGTTTTCCAATTTTATCTTCTCCGGGGCCCATGTGAATCATCAAATTGAGAGTCGTCGAGACTTCTCACTACTCACGGTTTACTCTGCAATGCAAGTGAAGACGGCAGGATTACGGAAAATTCTATTATAATAGTTCAAAACGAAATGTATTAGTTCGTACACTTTCGGTACCTATAAGCTGGTTTTTCTTTAATCAAGTCCAGCAATAATTAAATATTTATTTAGTAAATAGTAACTATTTAGTATTTACTTAAGGTATTTACTAGGCTTTTTGTGTGTAGGTAGGCTTTAGAGAATGGTTTTCGTACTAATTTCCATTGTTTAGGCTGTAATAGACTTCAAAGAAAAATAATTTCATTGAATTATAACGACCAGTGTATATTTTATTGTGTTTGTACAGATAGTTTTTGATATCAGGCAATCTAGTCGGTAGGTATTGTACTTGAATTTTAAAACAAAAATAATGTGCATATAATATTATTTGTCTGATTCTAACTACACATATATTAATATAACATTTAGAGATAAATTCGGAAAGTTGCATTCAATATATATAAATATATTTAATGTATAATTTATATAATGAGATATACATAAATAAATATGGACGTAATCATTTCTGTTTATATGTTTAGTTTAATTTCCTAATTATACATTATCAATTCGCCATCATTTAATAATTTAAAATGACTAAACATTTGTTAATAAAAAACATTTACTAAAACTAAGTTGATAATTTATAGTTGTATAATAATTAGAAATTATATACCGAATAACTATGGTTGACATTTGAATATTTAAATGATGGTTAGATTAATTAGTGTCTCGTATAACAAATTATCGTTACCAGTTGCGCATACGATTATTTATTTATTTTTTTTTATAATTTTGTTAATAAACTGAATTATTGTGTAACACTAATAAACCGAAAAATATTAATATGACACAGCGTACCTATGGCTCGGGTTAATGATCACTCTGATGACAGGATTTTTTGTAAAATAAGCCGTGTCGTTCGCGAGACCCGATAAGGTGCAGCACCGACAGTTTGCAGGCCGACCCGTATAGCTTTTAATAACAATATTATGCAAAAACAATATCTACGGTGAAAAATTATGCGAATTCGTGGTATTGCATAATACTTCTGTATAATAATACTAAAACATTATATACTTAATAGTTGAGTGGTGTTGTTGTTTTTTTTAATGTTAATATTCTATATTTTCGTTTAAAGAGTGTCGTGCGGGTGTATGTAGTTTTCGAGACGATCGTCGTGCAATACTCGTTGGATTTTACGCACCGAAATATTATATTGCAATATTAGGTACAACAGTAAGTCAATACACGCATTTTTGTCGTTGACCGAGTTAGAAAAAAAAAAAAACACCTTGAAATAAACGCAGGAAATATAATATTATGTATTCTACTAGAAAAAAAAAACATTCGATCAGTAATGCGCAAGTGTATAGGTATAGTTGTATAGATCAGTGGTTCCCAATCTTTTCGTTATGGCGCTACCCACACATTTACTTTTTTTTGAGTATGCGACCCACATTAAAAAAAGTTGCCCTAGGATAATGGGAGTACAGCCACTGCTGTAGGTGGGAAGTTGAGAAGATGGGATACAGAATGGAATTTAATATATATACCATATGTAAGCAACGATAAACCATTTCTAACGAAAAACGATTCTGAGCCGAGTTCAGTTAATAGTGATACTTTGTCAACAATATATACATGTCATATTATGGTAAAATAATTAAATAGGTATTATATAATTTCTTTAATAATAGTTGTGTTTTATATTGTACCGATTTCCCGTTTTTTCCCGGTTTATCACATTTGCTTGGAAAACTCTTGAGAAAATCGAAAAATGATCTTCTAAAGTACCTTTCCAATCGGATTTCCATTTAGAAAAAGTACTATCATTGTAGATCGGAGCAAAATTTCTGGTAGAAAAATTGTTCACAGGAAAAAAAATGGACGTAATATTTTTCAACTAATACTTATATTTCGTACATTGTCAGTTTCCCTCCGTTTTTTTTCGATTTTTCACATTTATTTTGCGTATTTTCTTATTATTCTTGCTAATATATTTTTATTTTTTCTATTTTATTATATTATAATCAAAATATGTTTCTTTCATCGAGAACCATCAAAAATATTTCACTACCCAATATTGGGTCCCGACCCATAGGTTGGGAAGCGTTGGTATAGATGATGATATTGATGGGCGACCGATACGCCTATCGAATATTGGGGAATGGATTTAATTTTAATGTTTATCCGATGAGATCCGATCAGAACAACTATTGGGTAATGTTCAGTTAACAAAAAAAACGCCGATTTTTTTTTTTCTACAAATTTCGAAGGTTTTTAACTATTTTCACACGCAGTGACGTAGCGAGGAGTAGTGTTGTAAGTGTAACAACACCTCCTTTGACAATATTTGTTTATTAAAGATTTATATATATATATATATATAATAAAATGATAAAAGAAAATTATTTTACAATATTACTGCTATATATAACTATTTAAATTTTATTACCAACTTTGTATCATAAAAATAATCACGATGTGAAATACGATTGATTACTGATGTCACGAACTACGACAGTGGTTTATAGTTATTTGTTAACCGCAGTTATTAATATAATTGACTAGGTACGATTTCCGTATTTTTTGCATTTTCTTAAAAGGGCGTATTCACGATCCATACTATGTATTGTCTCCATCTTACAAATATACGACATAGCAAATTTGCGTTAAACAGAGACAGTACTTATTGTGCTATTAGTTTTAAAGTTTAGTATTAGAAATATTACCTAGAGTGAATTATTACATCATTAACAAATTTAAAGACAATAGCATTATCGTATTTGAACGATATTTTAATTTACAAACGAGATATAATAGTAGGTATATGAAATATCACAATTCAATAGTAATCAGTTATGGAAAATGTTCACTCGAAAATTAAAATTTCAAAAAAATAGCACCAGTGTTGTGCAGATATTTTAGATTCCGAGCATAATAAGGGAGCTATTGGTTTTACTAAGATGTTTATTTTTTTTTCTACTTTCTTCTAGTCTATGGACATGTTTTTTCCTAGTAAACTTACTCTGATGTATAGCACTTTTTCTGAAAGTTTAAGTTGTCTAGATGGTACTTTAAAAAGGTCATTTTTTGATTTTCAACGCCATTTTTTAAATAAAAGCACTTAAGTGGGAAAAAACGTAGGAAAACGTACAATTTCATTATTTTATAAAAATACGGACATTTTCTACCAGAAAAAATGATTTAATTTAAAAATCACAAGACACCGTTTTTGATGCCTTTTTGATTTAATTTCTTACGGTATTATCGACAAAACTTTTGATCTTTTAAGAAATTTTAATTTTTAGGAGTTTTTGCTATGATTTTGTTATAAATACACGTAGAGACTTTAAACATGGTAATAATACTTATATTGGACTTACCTAGACGTGGTCAAATTTCCAAAAGCATCGGACGACTTTTTTTCTTTTTTTTAACAAGTGTTTTGAAATCAAATTTAAACGAAAATCGCAAAAAAAAATTACGGCACTTCAAATTATGTATTACCAAACTGCGCTCGGAATCGTTTTTCAGCAAACAATGATTTATCGTTACTTACAGGTATAAATTAAATAACCTTATGTATCCTATCATCCCAACTTCTCACTTACAACAGTAGTCACTCCCATCCCCCGTATTAGCTCTTTTTTTTTTGTAGTTTTTATAGTTGATAAAAAAAAAAATAAAAATAGAGTAATCAGATAAAAAAAAAAAGTATATAGATGGGAATGATCTGTGAGTAAAATGGGTAGAATATTTTACATATTGGCTAATTCTTTCAAGGTCTGAGTTTTTTTACAATGGAGGATCTAAATTTTAAAATGTACTTTTTTTTCGATTTTTATAATCTGGTCACCATAAGTATAGGTATCGATAACGGCTGTACGCGATACGAACGCGAGTGATTTGATGAAGAATCATAATATTATACGCGTGATATCCGTATAGGTTTAGGTTAGGTATATTTGCGAAATAAAATATCAGAAGCGTTATAATAATAAAAATAATAATAATAATAATGTATTGAAACAATAAAACATTATAATAATACGCATATTCGATATTTTTTCACGTAAATTTCCATATAGGTTGATATATAATATAGAATTATAGACAAATAAAACGGTCGTTTAAAAACAATAATTTCAATCCATAGAACGCGTACAACGACTACCTATATACGGTAAAAAATTCGGTGGCTTTACAATCCTGAGATTTAGAAAAAAAAATTGTTTGTTCTCCCGTCTTAAATAATTTTACAATGCAGTATATTATTATTGCAATATAATACAGGTAGGTAAATAGGTATAGGCTGTTGGTACGATAGGCTTATCTTAAAAAAAAAAAAAAAAAACAAAACACGCCTACATAATTTTCTTTTCGTTCAGCCTTTTAAGATCGCGAGTATCCAATATTATACAAAATGTACCTACCCGTCACGGCGCGTTTGCGTTTTCGTTGGGTAAATAATAGTAATAATAATAATAAATTATAATATCGTATAATAATAATAATCAAATCCGTTATAACGATACACACGTGGCCACGAGTAAAAACGATAATAATAACAAAACAAAAAAAAATGTCAAATAATTCGTTTCTCGTCGTCGTTGTTAGAAATGCGGGTGAAACCATTTCGGATCTTCCGGTAATTCTTGAACGAGTCGACGAAATTCGCCAATTTCACGTTCATGTCGCGGACCCAAGCGGCCCTGCCGGTCGGCGCGGACGTTTCCCCGTCGTCGTCCTCGTCTTCGTCGCTCTCGTCGACTACTTTGGCGACTGCGGCGGCAGGTGTAGCGGCGGCGGCGGCGGCGGCGGCGGCACCAACAGGTACCACGGCGGCCGTTTCCGTTTCTTCTCGGCGGTCCGGCGACGAACCGGTCGAACTCTTGTTGCCCATCGCGCCGGTAAAACGACTGCGCGGATAGAGCGGATCGAATCCGGCGATCGAACGGAAAAACGAAAAATCAAAAACGGCTCGTTATTACGCCTGCTATACAGTGTAACGATTATAAAACGATTTATTATTATTGCGCGTAAATTATTTTTATTAAATAATATATTATGTAGGTGTGTGCGAGTTTTTTTTTTTTGGGGAACGTGAGACGCTGCGGACTTTTACGTGCGCGACTGCGAAACGGACGAACGGACTAAAATTTATTACCCGGTTCATAATATGCAACGTATTTTTTTTCATACACATATATACGTATATACGTATATATATATTATTATTATTAAATGTATAAACGCGCGGCGGAATTCGTCGTCGTCCCCCAATATTTCCCCGGATCAATTGACTAAACTGCGACGCGCGTTCGCCGACCGACGGGTTATATTGTTATACGTACTACGTCTATACACGCGCGCGCGTTCGTATATACGTATATAATCGTATAATATATAGACGTGTGTGTGTGTGTGTGTGTGTGTGTGTGTGTGTGTGTGTATATACACATACGTAATACGAACGACGCGTATACGTATTGTTATTTTGTTTAATACGGTTTCAAACGATTCCGAACGATTTTAAACAGCCCGCCGATCCATATAAAGTGGTTTTAATTGCATCAATTTATTCCCCCGGCGTCGTCGCGACGACGGCGAAATCGCGGCGGCGGCAGCGTAGGTACACCGGACGCCGCAGCGCCGCCGAGTGACTCTTGTGTTCGCGATGTATTCTTTTTTTTTTTTTTCTATTCTGTCATAATCACAATACAATATATTGTACGCGCGCGCGACATTATATTAACGAAAGACACGCGGCGAGGGGTTCTGTTTGTTCGTTCGACGTTCACGAGCCCAAATGTTTATTATTTTTTTTTCTCCCCAATTGGTTTAACCTTCGTCGTCGTCGTCGCCGCCGTACAAACCAATTGACTTAAATAAATAACTCGCGCGCGGTGCCCGGGCGAACGCGGTAATACGAATAACATGACAATAATAACGCAATTATTATTTCTAATAAACGGCGAGACGGCCGTTTCCGCGGCCGGCGGCGCGATTCGAGATCGAAAACGCGCGCATTTCTCGCGTACAGTATTATTATTATAAAATATCGTGATAACACTATACGAGAACACTTTTTTTAAATTGGGGTTCTACCGAAATGTCAGGGGGTAAAAATGTCCGAGGAAAAAATATAATACCTACATAATATTAAATAATAAATTAAATACAATACGTAATAATAATATCATTAAGTATAATAAATCCTCTTAATTTTGGTCTTAAAAGTAATAAAAATGACAATGATAAAATTGACTGTATATTATCCTACTGTACTATGTACAATATTAATTAAATTTAAGGATATGCATTGAAAAAAGTTTTCATACATTTTTTTTTTCTGGGGGCGGTTGGTGTGGTTATATATTTTCCCTTTGTCCTGTTTTGCACTGGTAAACCCCCAACATGGTAATGTGAAAATAATTTAAGATTCCATCCTTCAGTTTCGTGGTTAGTTATCTAGTTATCAGTACACCTATACAGTGTACAAGCCGGACATTTTTACGATTCTTTAATTTGAATCGTTACCAGAGGCGTTCTCGGGATTTTTTATTTGGAGAAGAGAAGATATGGAAATTTACTAAAAAGTCATCTTTTTTTTATATAAAAACAACATTTACATTAAATTATAACATATTATATTTTTGATTAAAATTGATAAAATTTACAAAATGATATCAATTTTTCTTGATTTTCGAGCTAGTACATCGAGAACATTTTCAGGATAAATTGGGACTTCTTTATGGACGGTTAACAATGTTAATCCATTAAGACGTTTCTAAAAATCACTTGCTACATTTTTCAATGATAACAACAAAAGCCCGGGAAAATATGTTAACACTTTCATCATCGTTCGGTGGTAGTATCATGAGACTAATATTATATTGTTATTGTTTATACCAATTATAATATATGAATTTAGTTGATTATAAAACCCGAACCACGTTAAAGAAATTTTTTTATAACCATAGACACATAAAATACAAACACGGTCTGTAACCGTGCGTGCGTGTTGGTCTGTAATTTGTTTACGAATTTACAATGATAACACTTTTTCTAAAAGGAAATCTGACCGTAGAGGTACTTTAAGGAGGTAATTTGTTGATATTCCTAGGAGATTTCCCAATAAATTGGAAAAACCGAGAAAAAACACAAGAAAAACAGAAAAATAGGCACAATATTAAACAAATAGTATTAAAAAATAAAAATAGGTAATGCACATGTAATTATTTTACCACAATATAACATACTTATATTGTTGACAAACCATCACTGCCAACTGAACTCTGCTCAGAATTATTTTTTTGTGAACAATGGTTTATCATTTCTTACAAATGTACGTTAGATTTCCTCTCTACTACCTTCCCAACTTCTTACCTATAACAGTGGCTGCACCCGCACCCGTCCCCATTATTTTAGGATAGCTTCTTTTTTTTTTATGTTTTTAGCTCAGTGCTTAGGTATACTCTTATAGAGACATTCAAGAACCAAATTCAGTGGTGTAAATAGAAAAAAAAAATTAATCAATTGATATACATATACTATATGAGTCTAAAAATATTTTACTGTTTATTTACAACAGACGTATTTGTTTTGTTTCTCTGCTAATAATTCAAAACGTCTTCTGGCTAAATTATTATTTCCTAGAAAACAGTTACATTTATAATATAAACATACGAATGTATCAAATATCTACTAGGATGTTTGTTACGCCGAATTCGTGAATTTGTTGATTTCACGAAATCGTCAATTCGAATGCTATAAAACTGCCAATTACGTGAAATCAGTAAAGTCAAAAATTATAATTATATATTATTAGTATATTACTAATAAGAAAAAGAGTAAACTAAGAAAAATAAAAAAACATGTTCCAATTTTGTACATAACATAATGTGTACGGAAGTTTAAACTGAATTAATACATTGAATTAAGAAAATGTATCATTAAAAAAAAAAATTAATTAATTAATTTAAAAAGTTTAAAATTATTTGATTATGATTGATTGATTTAATATGATTAATTGATAATATTTATAAAATAGGTGTACTTATAACAAATATTTGAATACACTGTTCACCGCGTAAAACGATCAAACCGACTAAACATTGAACAATAATAATATAAATCGTAGGTATATTGTTTTATTTAGGCGATAGAAAACTGGTAACATCAGAAGATAAAATATTTTATACATATGTTACACGGTGAACCTTATTATTATTATTATACACGTTTAAATAAAGATAACATTGTGCGGAAAACACAATTTATATAATTATCAAAAAATTTTAAATTCTAGTCATCAATGCCCATGTTATTATTATAACAACGAAAAATGTATTGCTGTGTAATTCGTGTATTCGGCTGAAAAAAATCTGCCTAATTCATGCAATCGGCAAAATAATTCTGCTGATTACGTGAAATCAGTAGACAAATTGTTGATTGCACGTATTCCACGAAATAAGCGATTTTTCTGTCGATTTCGTGAAATCGGCAAATTCACAAATTCGGTGTAACATAATATATCCAAACATTCAAACACCGTGGGCAGGTTAAACGATTTTATAGTTCTAATTTATTGATCTCGTCTATTCACGACTCCGAATCCCTCCAAACATCAGGAGGAAGATGGTAATAAGCTGAACTTAAGACATATTTAAAAATTATTTATTCTTTATGTTGCCACAAATAAAGAGAGAATTTTTTAACTAATACAAATCTATTCCCATTTTGAGTTACTATACATAGTAATCACTCCCATTTTTAACTTTTATTTCTGTATCTTTTTTTTATTTTCTTTATTTTTCGTATTACTACAAAAAGTTATTACCTCAGTTCAATGCGTTAGCACAAATTAAATGCGATTTACGATGACGCCGAAATGCCGGTGTACCCGCGATTATTTACCACGTGAAATCATTACCTCTCCCGGTAAATGGTATTTAGTGTAATTTTACGGGAGGGGGGCGGGGAATTTCACTTATTATTCTTATTAAATAATTTTGATTATCTGTTATTTCTTCGAATATATATTACTATAATATGGAGAGCTTTACTTTGTTTATAATACTATCGATAGGTTAATTTACTACAGATGAACATTTAATTTCAATCTACGTAGTTTTACTGATATATGAAGTTTTGGAACTTGTATTTTTCAAATGATCTTCTAAGTCCTTATCCCCATACTCAATCCGAGTATTAAATATTTCTTGACAATTTCCATAATTTAATTTGGAAGATAAATCGAACTCATTATTTCTCAACAAAGGTTTGCCATTTTTATTTTTTTAATAATGTAAGGAATTAGATAGATGACTATTCTTACTGCAATAATAAGATATTTTATTTAACTTGCGAATAATTATTTCTCCGCACAAACATTATCATTTTTTTTGATTTATATATTTATACACAATCAATTATGAACAATTTGACTTTTGATAAACAAATTTATAATAATATAATTATATACTTATTTATAATATTTATTTAATTTAACTTATTTTTCTTTATATTATGTAAATAGCCTACAATTTCCATCAAGGTGTCAAAAGGTTTTAAAAATAATTATAATAAGGTTTAATTTTAGAGTTAAATAAATAAATTTAACATAACTATCCTAACCTGAGTGAACAAATTGTCAAACAAAAAAAAAATTTTTCCAGAGAATATTTATCTCCCTGTAAAATATTCGGAGGGGGAGGTGAATATCATTGGCGAATATTTATCGGGAATAAAATTTCACCAAAAAATATTTACCGGAAGGTAAAATTTCACCAGGGAAAATTTACTGAGCGAAGGGGGGGGGGTACAATTTCACGGAGGGAAATAATCCCAGTTACACCGGATTTAGTTTATAGGATAGGTTTTCTGATATTTCACAATAATTATAACTGTAGTGGAGTAACTTCAAAATTTGGGCCTGGGAGCGAAACTTTCAACGGGCCCCCTCATTCGGGCATATATAGGTAAGTCTGAAAGGGCACATCTCTCTTACTGAAATTATTTTACACAGTTTTTTTATTAGAAATATTATTGCATGTTTTATTAAATTCGCATATAATATATACTAATAGGAATAAAACCAGACGTTCTACGATCAACAGTAATGATACCTATTACTATTTGCTATATTATTTTCACCGTGGTTGGTACAGTGCTCATGGACATTATGTTGACAAGTACACCCATAAGAGGGCAGGGAAGGGCAAATTTCCCACTTGCTTTCCAGCAAGTTAAAATAATGATATCCAAATTCAATATCTCAAAATCTCAAAATCCCAAAATTCATTATTGGTAGGTACCAAGATGTATTGATATTTGTTAATACTTCATCAATACACTTACTTGATTAGTACCTATAGTCGGTAGATAAACTTCGTGATAATAGAATTCCGCTAATTTATTTACACAATATGCCCTGATTTATGGCCTATGATTTGAAATTGGTACCAAGCACTGCAGCCGATTATTTCTGGATAGATAACTTGCGGTTATCTAATGTGTGAAAATCGTTTATCCGGATTATGTATGTTAAGTTTGAAAAAAGTCGAAAAACTCAGTTTTGCAGAAAAAATTGTTTATGAATTTAGAAAAAATAAAATGAAATTGTAATTTATGTTCAATTAGTTACTATTATAAATGTAAAATTTAACATTATATTATAACATTTTTGAAAATAAACATAATATATCAATAAAAGTGTTTGATTATTAATACAAATTATGACTGTCCCTCCCTGAATTTTCATCTCCGGGCGTTCTTGTACATTGATAACATAATATCCGCACTCATACAGGCTACAACATAATGTAATAAATTTGAATTGTTGAAATCAATAATTAATTGTTTCATTTAATGTTATCGAAAGAAAAATATTGTATTACTTCGAGCCTCTTCCAAGCGAATGGGCTCTGGTGCGTTACGCCACTGAATTGAATTTATACAATTTATACAGGCAATAAATGCCTGTGTGAAAATAAAATTGGAAATTTCGTGCCGACGGAAAGAAAACTCCAATCGTTTGTATTTGTAACAGCGAAGTAATATTATAAGAGTTACAACTGTAACTTTGTTGACAGCGTCTCGAAAGATAAATAATTATAATAACACAAAACATTAAAAACCTATTAAAAACATGTTTGAAAATAGAAGAAACATCAAACGGGTCGGTGGTAATCATCGGCCTATCGCGATGGGATACCAATTGAACTCTACGCGTCCCGACTTGGACCGGATCACGGTAAACGTGTCGGCCGCGTTATCGAAATCGCCGCGTAGGTTCGCGCTTAGCGACGTGCTCAGGCCCACCCTTTTATTTCTGATACGGGCCCAGTCTTGTAACCACGTGACCCGGTAACCAAATTTTTTTTCCGTGTCCGCCGTTCCTTCCACCATAAACACGCCGGTTCGGATCCGGGATCGAGACATTCGGGACAGCATCACCCAAAACATACCAGTCGGTGACCGGACCAGGTACATCAACCGCTTATCCGGTGCGATCTGGTTTATGTTGTCCACGCATAAAAAGTTCCTCTAAACGTGAATGTTTAATGTTATACGGGGTTGTTTGTTGATAATATAATTATTAATTAATATTAATATGTGTCGGTAAGAAAAAGTCTGAAGTGGCAATAATAGGCATTAAAAGTTAGCGTCTCCACGTTATTTTACGATATTACCGTTGTTTCAATATAGGTGTGGGGGTGCACTCTACCCACGTGTTCGTGTAACTGACCGTATGTGCCCAACCAACGGCACGTGGGCTCCAGACACCGGGTATTCGGCTTGTACTCGCACACCCGTTCGTGTTCGATTATGTCGCGGACAAAGTACAACTCGTTACAGCCGAATTTCCGGTACGTGCACGCCAGCCTCACTGACACCGTGACCTCGGCCACTTTGACGGCCATCACGCACGGCACGTCGCAGTAAGCAACCAACGGCGATCGGCACAAGGGACAGCACGGGCGAACGACGGTTCGGTTCCATAGCTCGAATTCGCAACTAGGGCAAACTGTGTGCCTGTTCGGGCAGATACTCGTCATGTTCGGCGCAAGCATCAGGCAGACCGGACACTCGAGCGCTCGTCGAACCTGATCGCTGATATACTCGATCTCTGACCACGTATTCGTTGGTGTACCTGTCACCATCGCCACCGCCGCCACCGCAGCCGTCGTACTCATCATCATGCCAATACTACCGCCGCTGGTCAAAAAAGAGAGTCTAACAGACTAAAACACGAATAACGTGTACAAGGACGAATGGTAACAATTTCCGGGAATTTCAAACACTCGAAACGATTTTCATTCACTACGGTTACTGTATACTAGTATAAACACGTTTTGTTTGTTAAAAGACAAAACAAAACAATATTTTATAAGGCTGATAATGCTGATGAGTGATGGGCCAAACGCCACTTTATCAAGAGGAAAGTTGGTAGGGAGGATTTATAGAGTAATTTAATTTGTATTTGCAGGCAACGACAAACCATCAGTTCTTACGCGATTTGATACGATCCGATACGGTCACCGTCGAAAATCCTATAAAACAATGTCCACTATCCAGCACGCATTTTCTTAATTTTTGAGACATTTTTTTTATTATTGTTATTTAAAAACTCAGGGTGGAGGCTCAGGGTAATCTAAGTTTACAAATAATTCTTAAAGATATAGGTACATTATGTAATGATTTTTGGTTTTAACCTATTATGCGTTCAGACATATTTGATAATATTATTATATCGTACCTATTGCCTAGTATATCAGATGATAAAGCATCACATAAGAAAATAAATATGTTTATGTGTGTCCTCCGACGTTGTTCACAGCAAAAATAATCGTTTAGTCCTGTCGACATTACAGAAGATGTTTCAATCAATTAAAAGTAACATTTACTATCGTCAATGAAGCCAATTAACCGTATCGGAATATTGTGATTCACTGCGAGGAAAATTAATATTAACATGAGAAAATTGAATTACAATGCGCTGTTCCGCTGCGCATATGTGTAACTCCATTTCCTGCCAATATAAAAGTTACGGCAATAATAAACGTGTTACTGTTATTATTTTTTTCGGCGTGCTTGCAGCAATATAATTGCTGGTGTTGTTACTGCAGTATTCCCAAACAAACGATCCAATTGGATATTGTATTTTGTAATCGTAACAATAATATCCCAGAGCGTCTCGGGGGAAGACCCCGGAAACGGCGAATTGAACGAAGACCTTTAACAAAACAGTATACAAGACGACAAATATTAAAATAAATTTCCACGTCCAATAACCCCATGAGGTTTACTGTGTTCGCTTATTGGTTTCGAAATCACCAGTCAAAGACACTCTTCATCTCCATAAAAATTGTTTTTAAAAATGAAATAGAACTGACTTCAATAACAAAAAATATTCAAATTAAAATAAAATATGATGATACTGGAGACGGAATCGGCCACTAATGTAGATGAGTAGAGGAGAAGATTGGATACATAAAGTTCTTTAGTTAACATCTGTTACTAACGATAAACCATTGATAACGAAAAACGGTTCGGAGCGAAGTTCAGTTTTACAAGCAATATTGAAAGGCCTTAATAATTACGATTTTCGGCAACATTTGATTAAAACAAATTTTAAAAAACCACTTGGGAGCTAAACTGCATTAGTTCCAAGATATCTTATAAATGACTAGGAGTGAAATATAATATAAAAGTAAAAATACGTCCTAGGATAATGGAGACGAGTGCAGCCACTATTATAGATAATTTAAAGTATATTTGTAAGCAACAATACGTCATTGTTAACGAAAAAACGATTTTAAGCGCAGTTCAGTTGATAGTAATGCTTTGTCAACAATACATACGTCATATTATGGTAAAATAATTATATAGGCATTATATATTTTCTTTAATATTTGTTTAATATTTTACCGATTTTCTGATTTTTTTTTTTGTCCGGTTTTTCACATTAGCTAGGAAAACTTTTGGCAAAATTAAAAAATAACAAAACTGAATTGTTAAAAATTGTTGAATTGTTGGAAAAAACCAACAAAATTGGTAATCAGTTTCATACAAACATTATACATAATAATATACTATACATATAAATACATGCTGTAATGTTATTTACAAAATAACTTACATTATAATTTAAATTAAACTAAATTAAATAAAATGGTACACAATAGTTTCAAGTTGTCAAAATTTAATTTTCTTTTAGAGCTTTTACTTTTGAACTATATTTATTTACACTACATAACTTAGACATTTTGAAAAGAAACTTTACACATGTAACTTATGGTAATTCCGTTGCCAGGGGGGCACTGGGAGCACGATCCCACCTGGAATCTATTTTTTTTCCTAATACTGTAGTGCAGTTAATATTAATTTGTTATATTTATAAAATGTATTATTATTAGTACTATTTCAAGTATAAAATATATAGTTTTATATTATTTGTATAATGTATGAATCACTAATTGTAGAAAGGGGATATGTCTAATTTTTAACAAAATAATTATTTACCTTGAATAAATACATATTTTATGTATTTATGGGACTAGTCTTCAAACTTTTATGGAAATAACAATAATTAAAGTTAGTGTTTAGTGCAGAAAGGGGACAAGTCCAGGGCAAATTTCCCTTTTCTGAGCTAAATATTTTAATAAATTACTGTGACCACATGGTTTTTGTATAGTCAATCATAGGTTTTTGTTCAGATCTTAATAAGATCATTAACTTCCCAGTTTGGGTTGTAAAATATATTATTCAATATTTTTGATTTTAAAATATTTGTGAACTATAAAAATAAAATAGAATTTTTTTTAAACAATAAGTACCACTAACAATAAACCGTTAACAAAAATAAACGTATGGATATCAATTTTCATTGCCACTACCACTTCGGTTTGAACGAACCTTTATAGTATAAACGTAATCTTAGTGCACATAGCACGTAGTACTGTACAAGGAATGAATAAATTTAACTATTATCAAGTAGTACTATATAACATGAATTTGGTTTTCAATTTATCTTAAAAATATTTAAATAATACAGTACATATACTTACATTTTTGTAAAAGTACAGAAAAACTTCACAATTTTTTTTTTTTTTATGAAAATCGGTGACAAAAATGTATTATTATCTAACTCTGATAAAGGTTGTAGAGGCTGATTAAAATTTCTTTCTATTCATAAAAGAATATTTAAAATCTACCAATGACACGAGAAAAATAAACAAATTACACACACGTGTAGATAACACAGCTGTACAAGAATCCAACACAACGCATGTGGGATACCTAGCTATAGATATGGACATTGAATATATTTTGGCGGGTTACACCAAGACACGAGGTTTATGATAAGGCAATAAAGAAACGTTTATTTACAACATAAAGACATAATACAAGTGATCGCCAACAGACGGCTTTTGACGGAGGAAAGGAGAGCACGCAGCAATTAAAACAACATTAGTTAAGAAAAAATAATTATACATAATAATTATTCGGAGTCGGAAACAACGCGTACGGCGTCGGTGCGGTGAGAGAGCGCAGCGGTGGTGACGTCGAGACGAGCGGAGCTGTGGACGACGACCGCTGAACGCCGACGGCGAGAGGCGTGGCCGACGTTCGCCGCGAGCGATGCGCAGCGGAAAGATGAAATGTGGCGCGAAACCCGCCACAGTATCAACACCTATCTATTACAGTAGTGAGAACTGAGATTCAGAGGGACCATCCAATAATATAACCAAGGAGGATATAAATCATAGAGTAATATTGGTATATTATAGAGTACTATTTGTTACAAAGAAACTATTATATTTAACACTCAATAATTATCATTAATATATTTTAAAATGATTAAATAAATATATATATATATATTATTGTATTCAAAAAATAATATCGTTACATTATTTCAACTTTGGGAAATTTTAGATATACAACCATGGTTGTAATTAATAATTATCTTGTGGGATTATCAAAAATTATAGTACGTAAATATACTGCTAGATAGAAGTATCTTGTATGAAATTTATTCTGTTGTTTGTACTGAATCTGTCGTACAAACTGTAAAGTGCACCAAAGTAACGAAATTAGATAATTATTACATCAATGGAATTAAATACATAACTACCTAGTATTAAAATATAAGCAAAATAATAAAAAGTAATTTGTGACATTAATGAGACAATATGCAGAAAGAGACTAACTCATGTCGACATTTTTTTTTATCATTTTAAGAAAAAAGCAACTACAATTAATCATTTTATTTGACCAGGGGGCACGATTGAGAACCACAACTACGTGATAATCATAGACTTTGTGGTGAACCATAGACATAATGTTATATTCTAAGGCTAGGTTCACATGGACGCGCGTTAGTCAGCCGCGCGTGTTTAGATATACGGGTTTCTCACACATCTTTCACATGGCGCGCGTATGCGGGCGTACACGCGCGTCGATCGCGATAACGACGCGAGAATCTATTCCGCGCGAGCACGCGCGTGACAGCGCGGATTGAAATTCCATGTATCATTATCGGACTGTTCAGTTGACACGCGCGTTTTGATATATATTTGACTAGAACATTTCTGTATAACGCGCGTTTTGTGGCGTGCTAACGCGCATCCATGTGAACCTAGCCTAATAATATGTTTATGTGATAAACGCGTCACGCATTAAACTCTTAAATAATAAAAAATCTATTTATCATTTATCAGACTGATAAACGATTTGTTGATAATATTATTATGTAGGATGTAGACTACTTTAATTTGTGAAAAATGGTAATAATTAAACATCAACATCAATCAACCAAATGAAGTGAATGAAGTCAGAATAGTACCTTATACGACTTTTAAAGTTTACATTCTTTAATGTATTTTGTTAAATATGTTAAATAGTTAATCATTTAGTCATCTCTTGTAGTGTCAGCTTAGCCTTTACTCGTTTATTGTTATAATTATAATTTGAGACTAATTTTAGCTTTTGACAAAAACATATACATTATAAATATACATAGAGTTTATAATAAAACTTTGAAAGTATAAAAGTTTGAGAGTGTCTTATATAGCGGTGATGCCCCTCAACAGTTATTAGGTATCTATGTTTCATATGTAACATATCTATGTTATTCTGAATATTTACCGAGGTCTCGATGACACGGGATCAATTTGTCACAATACTATATTAGGTTATTAGGTTTGTATTCACACGATTTGTATATTTCATCAGATTCATGGGAGTACCTTTACCATTTTTTTTCTAAATCAATCACTAAAAATAATAAATTTCCATTTTTTTTTCAAACCTCTATTAAATGCATTTTGTTGTTAACATTTTTTTATTTCTGTCAACACATTGACAAAATATTCCATTTTTAAGTTTGAGTATGGAGTTTCATTTGTGTAGTAGCACAACTCGCTGCATTTGAATAGATCGAGAAAAGTTCATGTATGTAAATGTGTACAAAAACAAAAACATTTTTTTAATGATTGTATACTATTAAAATTTCTTAATGTTATTTAACGAATTTACTTAAAGAGCTAAATGTTGGTTACTATTAAGTTTAGGATGTTTATGCACTTAAAATCCACAAA